TATATATATATATATATATATATATATATATATATATATATATATATATATAAAGTAAAATAAAAGCAATACATTTAAATAAAAGTAATTTAAATTACAAGTAAATTAAAAATAAAAATAAATTAAAATTGAATAAAATAAACTACAGTAAAATAAAAAATAAAATACATTACTAGTGAGAAAAATAAATTATATATGGGATTAAAATAAATTGCAATTAACGTATTGACAGATGATATACAAAAAAAGACCTCAAACTAATAGCAAGAAATATACAGTAATATTTTCCAAACTATCCAAATATTTATAATATTATTTAGTAAACTAAAAGTAAAACCATTATAAAATAATAATTTAAAAAAACTTGAAGTAAATGTTAAATTAAATGAAATATTAAAAAGAAAAATGTAAACTTATTTTAAGGTAGTTGTCAACATTTTCATTTAGTTTAACTTGATGTACTTAAATACCTAAAAAAATAAACAAATAAAAAAAAAAATTATCAATAAGAACAATATATTCATTTTCAATTAAAAAAAAAAAAACAGTTGTGGGGGTCGGTGACATCAAAGTTTACCATTTTTCTGCATAATGTAAAAAGAAATAATTGCAAAATTATTTTAAAAAGTAAACAAAGTAATTAATAAAAATATAAAATAATAATAATATCATCAAAAGAATTTGTACCATTTAATAAACACATTTTACTGAAAATCATGCTGTTCACAGAAATCTCCAGTTCATTCCTACAGGGTGTAATGTAAAGCTTGTCCAAGTTAGCAACAGTAACCAAGGAGGGGAGGAGTTTAGTGAAGGGTCAAATACATGAGTGTTTGAGTGTGTATGAGTGAGTGAGTGAGTGAGTGAGTGTGTGTGTGTGTGTAACCCTGCAGTGAGTGGATCAATGGTCACACCTGTGGTCTCGTGTGTGTGTGTGTGTGTGTGTGTGTGGATCAATGCCAGCGTCCCCGCGTCTCTTGAGCTCCAGAGAGCGACAGCGTTCTGCACACAGCTGCCCAGCGCTGAGCATCAGACGTGGGGGGAGACAGAGAAAGCGTGACTGGGCCCCTGGACCACCAATTACACACCGGCCCCTCAAAACAGCAGCCGTCTTCTTCAGCCAGGACGTTTTTCCCAACCACCTCTCATGTCTTTCCATTCTCCTGTCCAGACAATCTTCCTTCCATCTAAACATTCATTCTTCATCAACAAGGGCTTCCCTGTGAGATGCCCGATCAAAAATAACCCCCATCTACTGGGGTCCACACTTGTGTTCAGCAGTCGATTTTCACTCTCAAGTCAAAGCAAAAAGCGCAGTGAGGAAAACTGATTCGAGCATGTTTTGGTAGGTTTTATATATTTTCTTACCTCAATGTTTTTGCTTGCAACATTCTTCACCACCGCTGGGAAAAGTTCAGATGCATTCTTTCCCTTGGCAATCAACTAGATAGAGAGAGAAATAAACATATGATGAGACAGAATGAAGCAACACACTGATGCTGAGTGATGAATGCAGTCATAAAATCAGAGACTGGATCTTAAAGGGATAGTTCAGCCAAAAATGAATATTCTGTCATCAAGTTACTCACCCTCCAAACCTGTGTGAGCTTCCTTCTCCAGATGAGCATTAAAAAAGATATTTTTGAAAAATGCTGGAAACCAAACAGTTGCTGGTTCACATTAACTTCCATAGTATGGAAAAACACTATGGAAGTCAATGGGGACCAGTTTGCTTACCCACATTCTTCATTTTTTGGACGAACTATCCCTTTAATACCAGATCTCTATCTGTCAGTATGACTTACCCCCACAATCCTCTTCATTGCCTCCAGCTTCAGAGACTCTTTGTTGCTTTCCAGCATCTCCTTCAGATCTTCATTCCTGCAGAGAAAACAATGATTCAGCATTTCAGTAATTCATATTTAAACACAGTGAAAGAAGGATTTGATTCATTCACCTTCATGTACCCTTATGAACATGCACCATGCTAACCATACAGTTTTAGTTATAAAGTGAAAGTAGGGCTGTCAATTCACTCAAATCATTGTCAGTGATTTACCATTATTCAACAGCTTCAGTTCTTTTATTGTAAATTAAATCAAAAGAAAAAATAATAACTGAATATCCAGAAACAGCAGAACCATTGAAAAAAATATTAATTCTAAAAATATTATATATATATATATATATATTACACACACACGTACATCATACATATATTTTCAGAATTAATTTGTACTTTTTTTATAATTAAACATTATATTATTATAAATGGTATATTTATACATAATTAGATATTTGTATTTCAACTACATATTTATATTATTTAATTACATATTTGTGTTTATATTATAACTATATTGAAAATGATATAAAATATGATTATATTATAAATATTATAATAAACTATAAACTGGGCAATTCATACGGTTTCACAATAAAAACAATCAAAATAATAGAAAGAAAAAACACTTTTTTTTTTACCTGAATGTCATGTTGCAATTAACCGACAACAGAGAACCGCGAACATACAAACGTTTTTTTTACATTATTGAGATATTATCTTAAAATCTCAGTGGGTAATTTAAGTAAATACTTTAGGTTGGTTTAGTTGACAAAAACAATAAAAATCCCTGGCCTACAGCACCAAAAACACAGAATTCAGGAAAAACCATCTCAATCCCAGCTAATGGAAGACAGTCAGACATATTAGATTACTCTGAGCGAATGCTGGTCATTCCTCTATCCACACAGTGCTGTCATTTACATATGTACCATGTGAGCGCCACATTCTTCAGACAATGTGAAGATAGTTTGCCATCATGTCACAGAGATACAGATGAGCTATTAATTAACCAAAGGAATTGGAATATAGAAGGATGCTCATACCATAATTTGAGTGTTTGATTAAATGAAACAATGAATAAGAAGACAAACTGATAGACTGACAGAAATATTTAGACTGTGAGAGCAAAAGAGCTAATGAAGGAAAGCAGCCTTGCTTATCTTCATAAATCCATTTAGAAAACGTCCAAACGCCATTATGAGATCATCCATTTCTCTAAACCAGCCCAGAAGACCAGACCTAAGAAGCTAAAGCTAAGAGAAAGTTTGACAGCCAATGTCTACTGGTTTCTATAAAGAAGACCAGAGAGGGACAAGACAGCACTATGCTCCAGCCTGACTCGATCATCTGCTTAATGGCCACGTGCAGCAGTCGCACAACCATCCAGTGTGACCATCATCACACACCAATTAGATCCATGAGGTTACAACGGTTCACTCTTTATCATGGACTGAAGTCTGAATTCCCTTACTTTCCTTCAAAGTTCTCCTGAGGCCTGGTCAGTTGTCCGAAGAAGCTTTTCCCTTTTGGTTCTCCATTAGAGAACGATGAAGCCTCAGTTATCGATTGGTTTGAGAAAACCAATCTCAGAAGATCCAGAGCTTGCAAGCTGCGTCCCTTTGAGCGCCAGTTGCGACTTGTAGCCAATAAAGGAAGTGGGTAAAATGGAAAGGAAGTCCATTTAGGTAAAAACAGCACCATCTAAAGAGCTAAGGCGACTCATATCCAATCCGGTCGTGGTAATTCTTGGTGGTTATGGAAGCGTACAGTCTCTTATCTTCAGACCGAGGCTTTCAACACCTCCGCAGAACCGTATTCTTCACTTGTGTTCATCGTTCACGGCAGGTCTGCTTATCCTGATAACGTGAAACTTCCTCCTGCCAACCAAGGCAACAAAATATAACAAGTCTGAAACAAAAATCAAACCCAAATAGTGAGACGGAGGAAGGAACGGAAAGAATATTTTGTGAACATCGCTGAAAACAGTGGAATGAATCGGTTGGATTGAACAAGAATCACTCGGCTGATCAAGCTGCAAAAAAGTTCATAAGGTGCACCATAAAAGCAGTTCATACAACTCGTACAATATATTCAGAATCTTTTCAAGGCATCTGATAGCTTTCTAAGAGAAACAGATTGAAATAAAGCTATAATTTGCTGATAAAACTCCCTTCTAAGTTGTTGACTCAAGAACTGCTGCAACTGAATCAATGAGTTTAACCTGAAAACTGGAGCAGAAAACAACAACTCATTATTTTATGATCTTTAGATTGAATTATTTGAATTAAACAACAGGTTTTTGAATGAAAGCAGTCCATACGACTCATGCCCTATATTTATGCAAGTCTTCTGAAATCATACGACTGAAATTTAAGTTATAATTTGTTCATAATCTTCCCCTCCACTTGAGAATCGATGCAAATGACTCAATGAGTTGAAACAGAGAACAGAAGCAGTGAGCAAATCTTTCATTTTGAGCCAGTTCTGCAATGAAAGCTGTTTGAGCTAGTTCACAAATTGGATTTAATGAATCACTGATGAGTTGAGTTGACCTGATTTGTTCTAGAATTAAAGTTCAACTTACTAACTCTCTGAACAAACAGGCTCTTGCATGAAAGTAGTCCATACAACTCATGCTCTATATTTGGAGTCTTCTGAAGTCAGCTTTGTAAGAGGAAGGGACCAAAATTTAAGTTGTTATTTGCTGAGAAAAATATATATATACACATCACCCTCCAGTGAGCTACAAACTTACACTGCAAATGACTCAAATTAATCAATGAGTTGAACTAGAAAACAGAAGCTGGTTCTAATGAATAAAAGGGAATGATCTTGATCTAGTTCACAAACTGGACGGAGTAATTAGTTAATGAATCAATATGATTTGTTTATGAATTATTTAAACTCACTGACTCACTATACAGATTCTTGAATTAACAGCTGAGTGAAGAGGAAGATTGTTAGCGAATAATGACTTCAATTTTGATTTGTTAATCACACAATGCGATCATACACCTTGAAATACAGTGCAAGAGTTGTATAGACTACTTTCATATAGCATTTCGTGCCAAGATTACAATGAAAAAGACCTGTGTCTATTAGCCTATCTATAATATCACATTTTTTTATCTAATATATCCAGTGGTTGGTTCCACAGAAAAAAGAAAGCCATACAGGTTTGGCACAACATATAAAAGGGGAGTAAATTAAGATAATTAAACATTTTCTGGTGAACTCTCCCTGCAGTGTTGTTCTCCTTGCGTCTC